ATTTTACTCAACACCTGACTTTGTGTCAATTTAAATTTGTATTCACGTCTTTGAGAAATTTGGCCTTTACAGTTGGCTCTATCATGTAATTCATCACCATAAATCATTAGGAATGCCTGTAGGTGCCCTGTGGCTCTTGCACTCCTTTTGATGAGGGCGGTTTTTAATCTCCCCAGCATATGTCATTAATATGTTTTAGGTGTCTTGAGCATCTCAACGTAGCGCTGTGTTCTGCTCTGCATCGTGTTGGTTGTGCTGTTTGTGTGGATAGTCAGTCTCTGATTTTGTCTCATCAGTTATGTGTTAACCTTGCGTCTTCACCCTCGCCTTAAAACAAGACGGTTCTTTCTCCACCGCAAAATCTGCACTCGCTTCCACGATGGCTGTACGCTTCTCTTCTTAAGCTATGACACCTCATAAGAGAAGCCAAAAGCAGATAGCGCCCTCTAGTTGTTAAAAAAAGAGTATAGCAATATATTTTTTTGTCTCATCGATTGAAATTGTCCATAGCTGTTTTGATGTTTAAAGGCTTAATATTTTTCACTCTTAAATATAATATAAATCAAGTATATCCTCTGAAAATAACTCTGTGAGTCATGACTGTCTACAATGGGTGTAACACCCGAGTCCCACTGTCTGTGATGTTTTCAGAGTTTTCAGAGTCCTATCTTCAGTTTGTTTACATCGCCGGGACTGCCGCTGACTCCTCCCCTCGTGTATAAAAGTTGTTTAATTGAGGGACTAGAGAAAAGAAGAATAACATACTGTACTCACTGCTTAACTGTGTTTCTATATCACGCTCATTTCAGGTAAATTTGAAAGTGTGAAGATACCAGCATAATAAAGATCGCTAGCATTAGCATGCTAACACAACAATGCAGCGCGAGTTGTTTTGGTTTCATGCTGGTGTATGGTGGTGCGCATATAAAGCCTTTAATTGCATTGCAAAGCATTTACTATCCTCATAATCCATTCAGGGTTTCTTCATGTTCCTGAAAACACAACCTGCCAGCCTCACGTTCACAATCTGACAGCTCTCTAATGACCCGGCTCTGCAGCAGACCTGAGCTCACAGTTCACAAAGGGTTGACAAAAACCGCCGCATCGGTCCATTAACCACGTTTGAAGCGATTAAAATGAAAACATCCACAATGCATCATGTTACCCGGGACCATAAATTGACGTGCGATACAGCTCCTGCCCACTGGGACCCGTTGGACCAACACTGTTTGAAGGACATAAACAATAAGCCGGCTCTTGACTGTGCTTTGTTAAAGCATCCACAGTGCAGAGAGAGAGAGGCCGATCGATGCTCAGATGTGTTGATTTGGAGGGGAGGAAAGATGGCCAATAGGAGATCAGAGTCAGCACAGCGGAAAAAGTCAATGCCAATCTTTCTTCTCCCGCAACATCGACCCAAACTCACTTCTGCTCATTTCTCATCTTTTCTTACAGGCTGCATCCACCTATTCATTCTGCACGCACGCTGCTTCAAAGGCCACTGAACCCTGTGAAGATGCTGAGGTCCTCTGCATGTGTGCGTGTGTGTGTGTGTGTGTGTGTGTGTGTGTGTGAATATCTGCTGCAGGATGTGCGTGCGTGCGTGAGTATAAGAGAGAGAAAAAGAGGAAGAGAGACGGACAGAAAAGTTTGCAGGTTGCACCTTGACAACCCGTGATGGGAGTCGATGTTAGTGATGATTTTTGTTCACATATGAGGATACTCCATCAGCAGAGCGATCGATACTGGATTAGAACGTTTTGAAGAAAGGATGATGATGATGAAGATGATGAAGATGAGGCAGGGGTAAACTTCTTACTCTGCACATTTCCTGCACAAACTCATAGCACAGAGTTCCCCGACCTCTCCTGTCTTTTTTACTAATTAGAACAATATTTGATCGAGCTGGACGAATTTACAACTCATGAGACTGGAAGACAAATAAGAGCAGCAAAATCGACAAGAAGATCTATATCGAGGCTCGATATTTCTTTGCAACTATTCCAAGGGTTCCTGCACAATTTCAAAAATCAAATTGAAGACTTTTTAAAATATAATTTTAAGACCCAACTCAAGGGAAATCAATCAGATTTTTGCACCACTTTTAAAAACGTTATGTTGGACGTATGGCTTTGATTCCCATCCTCTTAAGTTTAAAAGCTTTTTTTGTATATTGCAAGTTGCCTCTTAATCGTTTTTTTTTTTGCCCCTGCCAACTATTTTCTCCTTCACTCTTCTGTAAGGAGTTTGACGATGCATATATAATTTTTGAATAAGCAGTTCCTCCCCAAAATTACAATTTAACGCTAACTAGACATTTGATGAAGTATTTCGACGTGTCTCGATCAAAGTGCCGTTACAATTTTTACGTAACAACAAGACATTTTTGGAACTTAAATTGTAATAATCTACTCTGAGACTTTTTAAGGAACCCGCAGGAACTCTGGATTTTAAAGAGCCTGTTCAACAAACCACTTTAAGGAAGCACATTTATTAATATCATACTTCTGTAATCTGTTCTAGTGTAGCCTCCTGTCGGCTGTGAAGCCCTGCTACTGGAGACTCTAAATAAAAGACTGTCGCTTTATTGAGAGTCTCTTTTTGTTTTTCTTTTGTCTGTTGGTTTCACAAGCTCTCTGTTAAAGACAGTAACAGCCTTACAGGAATTGTTGAAATCTGTTCGAAGATAATCAGCGTGAAACAGAGATTTCAACTCTTTTTGTAACCAGCAGATCCTCAGAAAGGCTGAGAGTTATTTTAGCCTCTTCTGGTCACGCACTCTTTAGATAATTTTATCTGCTGCCATCACGTCGACGTTATGTTTTACCCGCCTGTAAAAATAACCGCTACTCAAGATCGTTCATCCCCTCTGCGATCGGTTACTGAATGCTCCTTAACGATTTTATCTTTTATCTTCTCATGTGTTTTCATTTCGTCTTCAGTCTGGCTGACTTTTAATCAGTATGTCCAATATCAGTGTCTCCTTTAGGTCTTATCTATGTTTTAACTCCTTGTGTAGGCTAATCTGTTGCTTGTACGTCAACTTGTCTTTGTTCGTGCTTCTTTCTCATGTGTACGAGCTTCTCCGCACCAATTGCCCCAAGTGGGTTTAATAAAGTTGTTTGAACTGAATCAAATTGAATGTGCTGCAGAAAGTGCTGACAGGATTGTAACCTATGGAGCTGGAGGAGTCTCGAGGACAAAGTACATGATGACGCCGTTTCCAAACCAACTCAAACATTGCATTCTGTGTTAAATGTTCAGCAGAAAAAGTTTTCATAATTACATTGGAGACAGGCCCTGGGGTCATCCTATTGACAATATATAAAGATGGACAACATACCAACTCATCCCAAAGTAAAAAAGATGAAGCCAAAATAACTCTGTGACAGTTGCTATGTTGCGATTGGAGCCAGAGTCTGGGTCGTAGTGATCAGCTGGAGGAGCCACATTATGGACGCCATGCCTCTTCTGCTGACTGAAGCACATGTTTGACCTGCTGATAAAATGTCAAAGAGCCCTCAGGTCGGTATGAGTCCACCGCAGAACAGATTCTTGTGCCTGTTTGAATCAGACACTCACTGTTATTGAAATTTCACTGACTCCTGTCTTGGTGTTTGTTACGTTTCCTCTCACTGTTTCTCCTTTGCTTTGCTAATCCGGTACGCACGGCGCCGCAGGAGACGCATTTGTCAACAGAGCTCTCAATCACGACATCTAATGCTTTTATAGCATCAAATATCTTATTATTGAAACTTGTTCGAAAAATAATCAAATTGAACTGAAATCAAATCTCAAAGTGAGAATGTTATATTTAATGTGTAATTTGATTTTACATTTTAACCTAAGTCCCATCTGTTTTACATGAAGGACGCTGGGTTTATGAGCAGCACAGCCATCAGTCAGTAGGGGGAGCGCTAAATATTTTGGCTTCACTTGAGGTAAGATGTTTCACTGTCCATTCTTTATACAGTTGGATGATTAATGAAGATAAGCTGACATCAAACATAGATGAGTTTAAGTGTATGCAGAATGTTGTCATTCAAACAAAGCCGAGGGATGAAACCAAAAGTAAAGGGTCCTTCTGTGGTGGGCCTAAATTAAACACCCCACAAAAATAAGAGCTTAAACCGTTAGTCATTAATACATTTTTTTTATTATTCATAAATAATGAATTAATTATTTTTTTCAAGCGGGGATATTTATTTTTTATTCATTTCTGTGTGAAAGCAAAGTGAATTCCTGGGACCATTTGTGAGAGAAACACAGAAACTGACAGATATCTTCATGAGATCTATTTAGTGTGAAGTCCAAATGATTCATCGATTACAACAACCAGCAGAACAATCCATGATAAAAAAAAAAAACATAAAAATAAAGATTTCTTATAATTATCATTCAGGTTAAATATATACAATTGAGGTTTTAGTCCTCATCGTTTTGAGGTTTTTTTTTTTACATTCTTCCAAAATGAAGTCTATTTTTTCCTAGAAAGTGGTCAGACGCAGCCTGCAGGCAAGGTTGAGAATGAATAAAACAAATACATGTATAGATAATTAATGATTATGATGAAGGTGATGAGTCTGTAATGCTGTTATGATGAGGATATTTATGAAATAAAAAAACACTCTTGCTTCTAGGAATCAGAATAAAGCCATCCTCAAATATGACAGCACATTTCCAGGAAAACATTCCTGCTTGTTCAAAGCCTATTTCATCAGAACTGTAGTTAACTTCACAACAGTTCAGAACTGAGAGTGTCGAAAGACTGAATCAGCAGTCACAGTCATTAAATTGAAGACATAATAGATTTTGTTTAAAGAAATGCGGTCTGACCAAACTGTTACTGTGACCAGCGGCAGCTCGGTAGGAAATCAGCAGCCTGTGGGTTTTCTGCTGCTGGAGACATTTTTGTGTTCACATTTTTTTTTTTTTTTTGCACAAAGAGCTGGAAAAAAAAGGCTGGAAAAATGGAAAAACTCGTCTTTTGAGTTACTCACCAATGCTCCTGAAACTCTCTGACAAAGTTCTCCTCAACTTTTTCATTTTGCCGATTTTCTCCACGGGCTGGGAGGCTGGCATCAGGTCGCACATTTCTTTCTTTATTCTCCACCGAGTTTGGCAGCGGGACTGGCTGGCAGCGGGACTGGCAGCGGTTTGAAGCGGAGAAGGAGGTCCGGTGTTTCAGGCAGCCCTGCGGGGCTTCTTGAGCCCAGCTGCAGCGCTCTGGCAAAACAGGAAACGGAGCCTCAACGGCTCTTACTCCTCTCATCAACTAGTAAAAACAAATGCCTTCTTGAGATTTTTTTTTTTTTGTTCAAGAATGCAACTACATTTCCAAAGAGGCAGTAAAAAGTCCGCGCAGAAGCAGGAGCATCCACACTGGAGACTGTGCGTAAAATTCGCTGCGCCTTTCTGGTGCGTCTTTTTGGGTTTAGATCCTGAAATGCTGTGACTTCTTTCTTTCTTCTCTCTGCGTCCCAGTCGCTCCCCTGCTCCACCGCAATCGAGATGTCATTTTTGGGATTTCTCTCTCTGGTTTCGACCCGCAGACCCCGCCCTGGATGCGAGGATTGGAGGGATCCCGGGGAGCTCCGTGTTCCTATTTGTCCACGCGTCTGTCCGTCAAAAGAGCCACAGCTCCGCCCTGTAATGTGTTGCAGGAGGAGGAATATTTTTCATGGACCAGATTGTTGTCAGAGCTCCTGCTTGAGACTGCTGCCCTCTGCAAGACCCGGTCATTGTGTGCAGGTCGAGGTACTCCCCCCAAATATCAGCCTCAAAAGCAGGACTCTGATTTGAGCTGGAAAAAATAACAGATGATATTTTACATTTAAACGAATTACACGATTAAACCAGGCTCTGTTGTGAACTGTGTTTTATTTATTAATCCCATTTTTACTATGATAAATTACTACGCCTAATTCAAATCCTCCAAAAACATGCATACAGTTTGGTTATGCATACTTACAAGCTGATTAGTAGATTGCTCTTACACTTTCAGCTCAGCATTAGAGCCATGAAATAAAATCATTACTATGACACCTCAGCCAGGGGTGCTGCCAGGATTTCTGCGCCCCATGAAAAGGTATCACATCAGGCCCCCCAACAAAACCTCAGTCCATCATGCGATATTAAAAAACCACACCTCCATGACACAATAGATCCATTAAAAGCTTTAAATTAAGGTTGTTAACTACAAAAAGTGCCCAGAGCTTATATTTCTGTTGCTGTGGTATCTGAACAGGTATCTATATTGTTAGATTTGTACTTGTATCGTATTGAAACTCAGAATTCTGGTTTATTAAGACTATAACTTCATGTTACACCCTAACAATCGTGATTTCAGTTTTAATTTAACGAAAACGATGACTTGAGTGATTTAATATTTGCATCTATTTGGCATTTCAATCATTTTCAAGCATATAAAAGATTTTTTTCTTTTTTACAGTTAAGAAATAATCAACTTAATTTATTCGGCCAATGACAGTTCTGACTTATAGTTTAGTTTAGTTTAGTTTATTTGCAAATTTTTTGAAAGAAGAGTCAAATAGAAAATTAAAACAAATAAAAATAAAACCCATGAGCGCTTATCTCAAAACCTCACCTTAAGAGATTAAACACAGTTAAAATAAAATACAGTAAAAAATAACAAATTAAGAATATTTACTATCACAAATCAAATTTAACCAATTTGAAAATGACATACAAACATTGAAAACATAAAAATAGAGCAAAACAGGACATACAGTATGTAGGCAATATAACAAAATCAGTGCTTTCACACTTTGCATGAAGTTTTCACGTTGAGCCTCAAATGTGAAAGCAAACAGCCACATTTTTCACTCTGTAGCTGTTTTCACAATCCTCCTGCTCTGGTTGTTCACACATGCATGGCAATGGTTGCGTGCATACAGTCGATGGATGTCCCCCCCCCCCCCCCCCGGTCACAGGTAATGAGCTTCACCACCCCCTCCCACTCACTCAAGGAAGGTGATTCACCTGAGCTCACATCAAAAAACTTCAGAAGTTTCCAGCGGTTTTGTGCATGTGTGAACAAGGCTTCTGACTTTACCCTGCCAGTGTTGCCTGTGCACAACCATACACTGAATTCTGCTGCTTCATTATGTTTCTTCTACATTCTTTTGTTAATATTGTGACCGTGTCGAACTTTAGGTCCTGTAGCATTGATATAAAGTCAAAAATGTCACTATAATATAAATATACAGTATATATATCAATTTCAGGCCAAATAAGGGCCCCTCCCTCCATCCGGACTCAGTCCCTTTTTCCCCCCGTGATGATGCCCATGAGCTCAGCTACAGTTATGCTTAAGTCATGATTTTGCAGAAAAAGTCACTTGATGATGATATTCATCAGCCTATTTCTGCCACTAAAAAAAGAATCATTCTTTGACAGTTAACTTTCTTTGGTATATATTAGAGATTAAAGCTAGCTCTGGGATTAAAGCTATCACACTTCTGAAAAGCCAGCATCAATAATCTAAATCCTGCAGCAGTGTGCTCGTGAGCTCTGTTCTGTTTCTGTCATGTGTCTTTATGTTTTCCGACTGGCATCTCTGATCTGATCATGGCTGTGCTGCAGTCACCACAGCAGCTGCATGAGTAATTCAGAGGCATGAACAGAGAGGCATGGTGTGGGAGAGCGTATACCTTTACATGTGTCTGTGTTGGATCTCGAGAGCGCGGCTCTGGAAACATCTCTGGAATGCAGAGGGCTGAATGTTTTCATACCGCTTGCCTAATTACTTTGACTGGAGCGCAGTCATAATTGAGACAAATGCACAGCGTGATTAGTTTGAATTGGTCCTTCATTACAGAGCACTTCATAACGATGCATGCTCACGTTTTACCTAACCCACCTCTACAATGTGTTAAACAGTGCATCTGTAGGAGGACACATAAAACATAATCTAATGTATGAAAGAGAATTTGACTCTCTTTTTAAAATACTCATGAGAGGTATTTGAAAAAAGCGAGAAGCATTGAAGTCATAAGGGCTCAAAGGCAGGGGTGGAGCAGCGATTTTAAAAGTGCGGGTGTTCTAATGCTGATATATTACCACCCTCTAGCAAATCAACACATTCTGTTTCATTTAATGTCCAATAGCTGATGTTAGCTGACACATCATACAACAAGACAAAGTTACAAAAGATAATTAGATACTAACTTTATGAACATCCATTGTGAGAAACCCAGTTAGCTCTAAAAACGAGATTCAAAACTGCTCTTTGTGATGCTTTTATTTAGCTTTTCTTATTGCCATATGCCTCAGTCTCTTTATTTCCGGTTTGCTTTTATTTTGAAAAACCGCAAAGGGGACTTCCGCTACATGGTAAAGTTACGGGAGTAAATAAATACAGCTAAAAGAACAACCAAGAGGAAACAATTTAAAGATCTGTGTGTAAAGTAAATAAAAAGTGTGGGGGATGAAAATACGTTTCAGTGAAAGTGTGGGTGCCGCAACACCCACAACACCCACGGGTGAGACGCCCCTGCTCAAAGGTGAAAGACCCTGCTTTGGTTAACCCTTTAATTGGACCAAGCGCATCATTTTAATACTTGACTCTCTTATTACTTTCAATATTTAAGGGCTGTCAACATGACTGCGTTACAGCATGTGGATAATTTACAGACCTTAACGAGTCACTCACCTTAATCATACTCTAAAAACATTACATGCTGACGAGGAACAGTGATGAAGTGAGAAAGATAGACTCTGGTGATAACATACCAAAGTGATGACGTGCTTTAAACTGTGTCTTGATCATGAAGCCTGATGTCCTTCCATAGTTATATGGGTTATATATTAAATATAAGAAATACACCTAAGACTCAAGTCTCTGTACTGTAAAATAAATAGATGTACATACAATACATACATGTAGCTCACTGTTCAGTCATTCACAGCATGGGGACTTGTAGTTTCTTCTTTATTATGGGGCAATTTAACCACAAAATTGTCACTTCAGAAGACAGTGTGCATCAGAGGCACCTTCTGTTGTGCTGTCTTTAATTGTCATCCAGTAAGGTAGCTACGCATATGTGCTCAAGTTAGAGTGTTTGGAAACATCTGGCTAAAACTGTGCAAACATAGTTTTTTGACTGGCCCTGAGTTTGCGTTCACAGTGTTGTGTAATTGTCCCCTCTGTGTGTGTGTGTGTGTGTGTGTGTGTGTGTGTGTGTGTGTAGTGTACAGGATGAGCTGGAATGACTCAGGTTATTTTGGCAGTGAGGCAGGAGTGGATCAAGGTGGTGGAGAGGATAGTCTAGGCCCCGACTTGAAATCTGATTAGCAAACAACAAAAAAAAAAACTGTCTTGGCAGTGTTGTAAGTGGCTGCTTGTCGCTTTTCTTTGTTGCCTTTCAATATGGCACAATTTGAGAACTAAAGAATTTTTAAAAGTAAATACTAGTAGCCTATAATAAAATTGTGATTTATCATAATCAATCTAAGCCTTTACTGTGATTCATAAAAAAGTTGAACCAATCACGCCTCCCTGTCTCCTTAGTGTGAGGTTCTTGTTGGTCCTTGTGAGTAGTAAAATTGTCATTTTTTTTTGTATGTATGTATTATGATAATACAGTAGTTTAAAGTTTACTTACTGCTGAATGAGACATGAGACGATGCAGTTTCTACACAATGCAAGCGATGAGCTAGAGCAACAACGCTCGTGCATGTAAGTGAGGGGCGTGGCTTGTGAGGGAGCAAAGAGGGGAGGGGTTTGGTGTAGACACAGCACTGAGGGAATGCCACTTTCAAAATCATGCTAGTTTTCAAAAATGACCAACCGTGCCTTTAATAGGCAGCAGTACTATAAATATTAACATAATCTAAATGAACAGTTATCTTCATTTGATTGCTGCCAGTAATCTGTAGCAGAGAGACAATATTTGGTCTTGATGTTTAATCATATTTTGACATGCCATGGTTAACTGCAGGTAGAAGGTCTGTGCTGCGAGCAGAAAAGGAAGAACCTACTTGCTGTTATTTGATGATTTCACAGTAATTCAGACTCTAAAAACAGACATCTGCATATCATTTCAGCTCACAGAAACACATCTCACACACACTTGTAATCTCATACTCCGACCCTCGCTGCAGTTGCTGAGACGGTGGGTTTGAAACACATTACCAGTCAGAAACGCAGAAGACGAGAGCTGCTACTGTGATGCAAGCTGACAGGCCAAGGCAATACGCCTCAAAACACAACAGGGAATCAAAAAAAAAAAAAAAGGAAAGCCAGAGTACAGAAGGAGGGAGAAAATGAGAGGAGCAGAGTGGGAGCAAATTCCATGCCAATGAAAAGTGCACAGAAGCTCCCGGCAGGTATGACAGGTGAAGCTGAACGGGGCAGAGGTGAAGAGCTCGGTGGGTTTAGAAAACTTTCATCTCGCTACACCTCTAATCGGTAGATGGTCCGCTTGATCCCTTACGACTGAAGTCCAAGCGTCAAAGTGTCCCTGGGGGAGACACTGAAGCCAAAACTGCTCCAAAAGCCCA